AGATTTTATGGTTAAAAACACATTTGCAATGTAGGAAATGCTTGAAAAATTACACATAGAAGCATAGTCATTGCTGAAGCCGTCTCCAGTGGTAAAGGAGTGGCAGAGACTAAACTAGTAGAAGTTAATAGAATAAAGGAGTCTTTTATAACTGTCTATTCTGCTCTACAGAGCATGCCTACATCAACAAAATCCTCAGATCTGATGGCTTTTTAAACATCATGCTATCACACACACCACTAACAATCTGATAAAAGCTATGACTCTCTCCAGAAAAAGGCACAGAGATTTGAAGATAATTTCAATTTCACAGATCCCTGAAGACCAGTATCATCACTTTGCTGTTATCTGTCATTCAGGTTCAATTATTCATGTAGTGTTGGATTGCATGGGGGCAAAAGGGAAAAGCAAATTTATACTCAAGATACTCGCTCCCTTGAATTGCTTGTTTTGCTTTCTCTTACCTTGAATCTAGGAGCTCTAGTAGTGTAGTGCCTAAGGCACTTGACTGCTAACCAGAAGGCTGGTGGTTCAAACCCACCAGTCACTCCTGGGAAGGAAGGTTGGGCAATCTACTTCCATACCACCTCAGAAAGCCAAGAAGGGGTTGCTATGAATCTATGAATCGGGTCCGACTTGATGGCACAGAACAACAACACCTTGAATCTGTTGCACTTGGCCCCTGAATCACAAAAGTTCAATGACAAGAGACCCAATTTCACTATATATTTAGTAATAAGCAAAAAACTAGAGATTATTTTCCCAAAATTCACTCTAACCCCTAGCAATACAAATATAACCATTGACAAAGAAGTTTACTTAGTAATCACATAATTATGTAAGTATGGTTCTTTACGAACTTTTGAAAAATTAAAGTAAATGTTTATAACCTATTGCCAGATATGTATACAAATTTGCAAAAATCAACTTAGCGATTAGTCAAGATGTTGTCAGTTAGTGCAGAATCAATCTTGACTCATGGTGCGCTCATGTGTGCAGAGTAGAACCACTCCATAGGACTTTCAAGGCTGTGACCTTTCAAAAGCAGATCACCAGGCCTTGTCTTCCAAGGTGCCTCTGGGTGCCTAAGGCATTTGGGTGCTAACCACAAGGCTGGCAGTTCAAACCCACCAGCCATTCCTGGGAAGGAAGATTGGGCAATCTACTTCCATATAGAAACCGCCTCAGAAACCCAGGGAGGGGTCGCTATGAGTCAGATCTGACTCAACAGCACTGAGTTTGGTTTTCTGGTTTTTACTTAACTTGTTGAGTACTTAACTACCCAGTCAAGATATAATCATACCAAAATTTCATAGACTAAAATGGTTTTCCATGTCACTCCAATTACTTACTCAGTGACGACAGTGTTCTGCATGAACTAACAGCCTTGGAAACGAAAATTTGCTCTGAGGTCCAACCTTTTCCTTTTATGACTATAATCTAAGCAGCTGCCATGAAGCTGCTTTCCCTTTCTTTACAGGGAAGCAGGGTAGTTTTAAGCAGGTGAGTGGGAATACAAAGGCTGTACATCCTATAGCGAAGTCTAAGTCTATTATCCAGACCTTTAACTAAAAGGTTCTACAAATTCTTTTCATCACCACAGACAATAAAAACCAAACCAACCAAAATAAAGAAAAGGTACTGGTACACTAATATCTATGGTACTGAAAACTCTGTGACATCAAACTAATAAAAAATTATAATATTTAGGTTTTCAGTTAAAAATTGTCTTTAACAATTATTTTAAATTGCTTCATAAGTATTTCTAAGTGGCCCATGGCATTATATAAATGAAAAATCATCACCATGAAAAACAGTGCTAGTACAATGCTGTCAAGTAATTGAATTCCATTTCTGTTCTCTACACTTAGATTTTTTCTCTGCAACCAGAGAAAAAAAGCAATGGGTTGTAAGTGTTCAATGACTCATGCATAGACAATGCTTCTGACAGCACGCAAGATTTTCCTCCTGTGAGATTCCAGTTCAGAAAAAATCACCCTCAGTCTGAAAATGTCTTCTCTGTAGCTCAGAAAACAAATGACTTTAAGGACGCTAAGGAACACCAGATAAATTTGGGAGGCTGCATGCAGATGATGGGAGCTCTGGTGGTGTAGTGCCTAAGGCACTTGACTGCTCACCAGAAGGCTGACGGTTCAAACCCACCAGCCACTCCTCGGAAGGAAGGTTGGGCAATCTACTTCTGTAGTGATACTGCCTCAGAAACCCAAGGAGGGGTCGCTATGAGTCGGGTCCGACTCGACAGCAAATAACAACAACAACAACATGCAGATGACAACAGTGTGGACAGCTTTTAAGATAAACTTTTCATTGGTCATATGAAATACATTTAAAAACAAAAAAATTGTGGTCAATTTGATTCAGACTCGTGGAGACCCTGTGTGTGTCAGCGTAGAACTGTGCTCCACTGGGTTTTCAAGGACTGATTTTTTAGAAGCAGACTGCCAGGCCCTTCTTCTGAGTCACCTCTCCATAGACTTAAACTACCCACCTTGTGATTAGCAGCCAAACGTGCTGTTTCTACCCCCCAGGGACTATGAGAATATATTAGGAATAAGGAAAACAACTTGAAAGCAGGTAACAAGATCAAATGTAAGCATATGCTGTTTTGATTCTAAAGTCTGTGCTAAAGACAAGAATCTATGCATTCTTTTATAAAAAAAATCTCCAAAGGAAAATTAATTTTTCTTTCAAAATTGTCTTCTGTGTTTTATATGCCATTTCACTTAGGAAATTATTTTAAGGCAATACTCTGTCTGCCCGTGAGACTTGCTTTCAAGTTACTGTTGATATAACTAAGTAGGATAGGTAGCAAAGTGATTTTCTCATACAATTTGTCATGATGCCTGTGTTTTATTGGGAAGACTTCAAAACACAACTGTCTAATTGCATCCCTCAAGAAATGCATGAAAAAGATAACATGACAAATGTAAAGAAGTTTAAGGTAAGTTCTGCATTGTAACAGACAGCGAGATGAAGGCTGTCCATGTTGTTGTTGTTGTTATTTGCCATCGAGTCGGCCCCGACTCATAGCGACCCCTCCTGGGGTTTCTGAGGCAGTATTACTATGGAAGTAGATCGCCCAACCTTTCTTTCGAGGAGTGGCTGGTGGGTTTGAACTGCCAGCCTTCTAGTTAGCAGTCAAGTGCCTTAGGCATTTCACTACCAGAGCTCCCCTGAATCTTCATAGGGTTATTTATTTAAAGAGCTATTAGTTTTCAGAACAGTAATCATATCTATATTCAAACAGGAGAATCAAAACACCTTCTAAAGTCAAATATAAATTATCTTAGAGTGTGACATTGATACATTCTATTAGTATAAATAAGCAGAGAACCGAGTAACTACCTTCTATGTTAAATGATTCAAAGCTTAGAGTTAAGTTTATATAGGTAATTATTTCTCATAAGCAACTGGAATTAACAAGGGCACTATTTTTAATTTATCCTCAGACCCAGCTTTACCTGCCATCTCTCCTAATGACTCCCAGATCATTATCTCCAGCCCAAATTACTTGTCACATTCCAACTGCCACCAAAATATTTCCTCTCAGATATCTCACAGGCCTGCCAAACAAAATTTAACACCCCCTCCCAAAACTTAGCCTCCTAAGGCACCACCATCCAACAAGTTATCCATAAAAAGTCATTTTCAACTTGTGTCCTCATGTAATATGTCATCAACTGCCAAACACTTTATTTCCAATGTATTTCATTTTCTGAATACCTCTGAGATTTCTACTCTTACCTCTGTTTCCATTCCTATGTGTTAGTCTGAGCCTTCAACATTTCCCAACCAAATTTCTATAGTTTTTTTTTTTTTTTTTTTCCTTTTTGGGTCTTATGGTTTCTAAAGCCTTCCTCCACCCTGCTATCAAAGACATTTTTCTAGAAAGCAAATCTGGCTATACATGCTTTACAATATTCTCCAATTGTCTTTACCAATTTAAGAATAAAGTCAGCACAGGTGTGGGGCCATCTCTTGATCTCAATTTTGCCTGCCTTTAGGCTCAACTTCTGCTACTTCCATTGCAAACAGTTTGTGCTCATGTACTAAACCTATAGGATGGCCATTTTAACCCATCCACCAGCAACAGAAGAAAGGCCTGGAGGTCAGGGCTTCGAACCAGTTTAAAACAGTTCAGTAACAAGGGCCATGTATGTATTGAAACAAGGGTCATGTATGCATTGCATAGCAACCAAACCTGTTGCCCAAGGTATTTTGATCCAAGTAGGAAACAAACATTTACGCCCTGCTCAAAGAGGGTGTTGGACCATGCTGCTTTGAATGTTATGTTCCTCTCCAGAGTCATGCTAATAATCTAATCCCTGCCATTAGTTTCCCAAAACTTTCAGGAGGAAGGACTGTGGTAGGACTTTTGGAGAGAAACATTATTGGCAAGACTCCAAACAACAGCAAATATTGAAAGCAGTGCAGTTGGCTGCCATCTTTGAGTGTGGCACAGCTGTTTGTTTCTTACTGGGATCAAAAGACCATGGACAGCAGATTTCATTGCTGTGTAACATGTACATGGCCCTTGTTTACCATGCAATTATTATTTTGAACCAATTCAAAGCCCTGCTGAAGATCTGCTTCCATAAAGAATATAGCCAAAAAACACACAATGGAGCAGTTCTACTTTATAACACATGGTGTCTCCATGAGTCAAAATCAGCTTGAAAGCAGAAGATTTTTTTTTTTCCCTTCAGTTCTAGTACTTCCACAGGTGATATGAGGCTCAGGGTTCACTGGAGATGGTCATGTAGACACTTTTGCTTTTGTATGCTGAAGGGGTAGGTTTATTGAATATATATATATTTTTTTACTCAAAAGATATCATACATACTCTGTAAAACTGTGACTTTCCATGATATATCACTCTAAACTTAAATGAAAGGCAACTGTAGTCAGATAAAAAAATAAATAAAGCAGAAAGGTAGGTTACAGTAATGAAAAATAGATTTACATGTCAAAGTTCTTACCCAACGTCTGTCGGAAAGTTATCTTCCACCCTCTTGCTGTTTGAGATGGATCTGTCTTGAATACCAGGAACAAACTGTTATTGTTGCTCTTAATATCTGGGGGAAGTGTGGAGCCACAGAATTTGCCAAGAAGGGGATCACTGAAGTTAGAACCATCATAAATTGCCAGGTAGTCTTGGGAGCAGAAGGTGGAGGGAACCACATCAAAATCACTGAACCTGTGAAATGTACCTTGTTAATACTGATGTTCTCTATTTAAATTGTACCTTTGTTCTTAGGGAACAAAAGGACAAGGCAATGACTAAAATTAGAAAAAAAACGATTCACTTAATAGGGAATATTAGTTTACTGATCAATTAAAAAGTTTAGCCAAAACTTTAGAGTACCCACAAGAGTGTGATAGGAGACAGGGATATAAAGATGAGTAAGATACAAACCTAGACAAGGAGTTTGCAGTCTAGGACCCAGTAAGTCCATTTGAAATCAAGTCTTGACAAGCTGATGTAATTTTTATTTATCATTTAAGCAACACGTTAGTTATTCAGTCTCATTTAAAATATGGCATTTACTCTGCTCCCTCATTATTTTGAAAGATAAAGTGGTACTATTATCTTATTCTTTACTTATGGGAAGAAAGCTAATATAATGGATTAAGTCCTGGCTTTAGAAGCATAGATCAATTTTCTCTCCCTCAGTCTCTGTATTCCTGTTTTCCAAATGTGAGTTATAGTAAGAATCAGTGAAATAATATGTGAAAAACAAAACTATCGTATCTGGCACATAAAAACCAAACTCACAAACATTGAATTGAATTCAACTCAGAGTGACCACCACTGGGTTTCCAAGGCTATAAAACTTTATGGAAACAGACTGCCTCATCTTTCTTCCATGGAGTAGCTGGAGGGTTCAAACCACTAACCTTTTGGTTAGCAGTGAAATGCTTTAACCACTGCACCACTGGAGCTCCTTACCTAGCATATAGTAAATGCTTAAAAAATTAATGTTATTGTTATTATTGTGATTTTGAAAATAAAAAATATGAAATAAGTCATTTCTCATAAAAGAAAAAATATATATAAAACCCTAGTGGTAGAAAAGTCAACTTACTTTTCTTGAGTCACATTTCACTGCTATAAGAATAAATTCACACTTAAACTCATTTGGTGGTCACTGGAACCTCTCCACATATCCTCATCTCTCTGCCTTTGACTATGCAAAGGCATTTGATTGTGGGATTCCCTTTCTGAACAGTTCTTCAGGTTTAACATGACCATAAGATTTGCTTTTGCCAGTGAAATGTGAGCAGATGTAATATGCATTTCTTTTTGGAATATGTTTTAAAAACTACCACTTGATTTGCTATATTACCTTCCTCTGAAGTGATGATCATGGAAACATCAGTAGAAATTAAACTTCCATGAGCATGGGTCTCTGAGTGATCACAATAAACAGAGCTTCCTTGTGAGGCCTCACTGGACATATAGCATGTCACGTTGTTGTTGTTAGGCGCTGTCGAGTCTTTTCCGACTCATAGAGACCCCATGCACAGCAGAAGGAAACACTGCCCGATCCCACGCCAGCTCCATGATCTTTGCTATAGTTGAGCCCATTGTTGCAGCCACTGTGTCAATCCATCTCATCGAAGGCCTTCCCCTCCTTCATCAACTCTCCACCTCACCAAGCATGACATCCTTCTCCAGGGAATGGTCCCCTCTGACAACATGACCAAAGTAGGTAAGATGATGTCTGGCCATCCTCACTTCCAAGAAGCATCTTGGCTGCACTACCTCCAGACAGATCTGTTAGTTCTTTTGGCAGTCCACGGTACTTTCAGCATTCTTCGCCAGCACCACAACTCAAAAGCATCAACTCTTCTTCGGTCTTCCTTATTCATTGTCCAGCTCTCACATGCATATGAGATGATTGGAAATATCATGGCCTGTGTCAGGCACACCTTAGTCCTCATGGAGACATCCTTGCTCCTCAGCACTTGAAACAGTTCCTTCGCAGCCGACCTGCCCAGTGCTACATGTCATTTAATGTCCTGACTGCTGCTTCCATTGGCATTGATTGTAGAACCAAGCAACGTGAATTCTTTGACAACATCAATCTTTTCTCCATTTATCGTGATGCTGCTTATTGGTCCAGTTGTGAGGATTTTTGTTTTCTTTATATTGAGATGTAATCCATACTGCAGACTGTGTTCCTCAATCCTCATCAGTAAGTGCCTCAAGTCATCCTTACTTTCAGCAAGCAAAGTTGTATTGTCTGCATATCTCAGGTTGTTAATGATTCTTCCTCCAATCCTGATGCCATGTTTTTCTTCATATAGTCCAGCTTCTCGGATTATTTGCTCAGCATATAGATTGAATAAGTATGGGGAAAGGATACAACCCTGACACACTCCCTTCCTGATTTTAAACTATGCAGTGTCCCCTTGTTCCGTTCGAACGACAGCCTCCTGGTCAAGGTACAGGTTCCTCATGAGTACAATCAAGTGTTTGGGAATTCCCATTGTTCCCAATGTTATCCATAATTTGTTATGATCCACACAATCAATGCCTTTGCATAGTCAATAAAGCACAACTAAACATCTTTCTGGTATTTGCCTTGAGCCAAGATCCATCTGACAACAGCTATGATATCTCTTGTTCCACATCCTCTTCTGAATCCAGCTTGCACTTCTGGAAGTTCTGTCAATATACTGCTGCAACCCTTTTTGAATTATTTTCAGTAAGATCTTACTTGTGTGTGATATTAATGATATTGTTTGATAATTTCCACATTCTGTGGGATCACCTTTCTTTGGAATGGGTACAAATATGGATCTGTTCCAGTCAGTTGGCCAGGTAACTGTCTTGCAAATCTCTTGGCATAACCAAGTGAGTGCCTCCAGTGTGGCATCTGTTTGTTGAAATATCTCAATGAGTATTCCATCAATTCCTGGATCCTTGTTCTTCGCCAATTCCTTCATTGCAGCTTTGACTTCCTCCTTCAGTACCATTGGTTCTAGATCATATGACACTTCCTGAAATGGATGAAGACGGACCAGTTCTTTTTGGTACAGTGACTTTGTGTATTCTTTCCATCTTCTTTTGATGTTCCCTGCATCATTCAATGTTTTGCCCTTAGAATCTTTCAGTATTGCAACTCGAGGTTTAAATTTTTCCTCAATTCTTTCAGCTTGAGAAATGCTGAGTGTGTTCTTCCTTTTTGGTTTTCAGACTCCAGGTCTTTGCACATTTCATTATAGTAATTGGCTTTGTCTTCCCGAGCTGCTCTTTGAAATCTTCGGTTCAGCCCTTTTACCTTGTCATTTCTTCCATTTGCTTTAGCTACTGTCTGCTCAAGGGCAAGTTTCAGAGTCTCTTCTGTCATCCATTTTGGTCTTCTCTTCTTTTGTTGTCTTTTTAGTGACATACAGCATGAGTGAGAAATAAACATATTAAGCTAAACTACTTGCCTTGGGGTGTTTGTTACCATTTATAATCTGCCCTGACAGATACATCCCTGGATTTTCCTATATAATCTAACACACTTTTCTAACTTAGGCCTTATGCTTTGTCATTTCAAGTAACTCTTCAAGTTATAACTATATCAAGTAATGAAAAAACACTTAAAAAACACTCAAAGTAAATTTCCCAAACAAGCAAGGCTTTCTACCTATTTTTCCTTCTGGTGGTGTTTATTATAGTGTATTTTCTTTGAAAAACTTGTATAAATTTCTGGACATCCTCTACTCATTTTTGTTTGTTCTGCTTTCTCAGGTGTGTTACTGTTGTTAGAAGTTGGAATAACTAATATATAATATAATTTTGAAAATATCCAATGATTACAATACATATTTCCTTTGAAAAAGATTAAGAAAAGGATCTGTTTATTTTTCTAAACTATATTTTTGTTGAATTTGTTCATACTGATGATGAAGATCAAAATAGAAATTTTCTTTCTTTTTTCTTTTTTTTTAATGATATGTAACATTTAATGTTTTTGTAAAAGAAAGGTAGAACAATAGCTATATAATTTTAAAAAGAAGTATTTTCATTTTTATTCTCTATAGATAACGCTGGTGGTGTAGTGTCTAAGTCATGTGACTTCTAACCAGAAGGCTGGCAGTTCAAATCCACCAGCCATTCCTCAGAAGGAAGACTGGGCAATCTACTTCCATAGTGATTCTGCATCAGAAACCCAAGGAGGGGTCACTATGAGTCGGGTACGACACATATTTTTCATTAAAAAATCTAGATTTTTTTATAGATAACACACTTATTTTCTGTAATAAGGTTCTGAAATTCAAAGACGACTTGAACTTATTTTGGATTTTTTTCATTTTGCATCACTGTCCCAGGAGAGCACAGAAGACATGTAGAAAGATCCACTGACAGAAGCTTCTATGTGGCCAGTATATTTGGAAAGGCTTGACAGAAGAATTTATGTTTTACCAAGGTAGGCAGCACCTAAAATAATATCTGTTTCATAGAATGTAGGTTTTAGAAAGTACAAAACAAATAATTTTTCAAACATGGAATTGTGAACTTTGACTATTGTGAGACCCAGAGACCAGTCAAAAAAAATGGGGGAAAATGTATACATACATACATATACATATACATATACATATATATATATATATATATATATATATATATGGCACTACAGTGGCAAATCGATTAAGCCCTAAGCTGCTAACCAAAACATTGTTAGTTCAAACCCACCAGAGTCTCCATGGGAGAAAAGAACTAGCAATCTGCTCCCATAAAGATTACGATCTGTAACCCCTCTGGGGCAGTTTTACTCTATCCTATAGGGTCACTATGAGTTGGAATAGGCTTGACAGTGCACAACAACATAGTAAATAAATAAATGTACATATAGAAAATATGTATGCGAGCTTTTAGCAACTGTAATCATACACTTGCCAGAAACAAGTATTATGCCGGCAGCAAATAACAAGAGCCACACTATGTTACCATTCCTAGGCAGGTGACCCCTTCAAAGGCCTTCTAGCTATCTGGTTGTATTTTGTTTTTTCTTTTGCCCCTGGAACTTAAAGGCATTTTGGGGGGAACATTTTCCTTACAAGTTGGCCAGGTGGGATTTGCACACAATGATAGTCCAAATAATAGACTATTTACTGACGTATAACCAAACCAGGCTTAATGAGACTAGTCAAGGCCTCATTTCATATATAAGGTCCTTAGAGGTAAACTGCAGAGTTTATCATGTTTAGGGCAGTAAGTGGTCACAGAAGTATTAGAGAGGGGAAGAAGATATGGTCCTAGCCCATCAGGCTTCTATGAAAATCCTATAGTGCTGTGAACTATATCAACCTCCAGAGTTTTCCATGACATGCTGTGTATCACTGAAACACAGAGGTGGAAAGATATCATCATAGATGGAAGCAGTCTTGAGCTTTATTTATCATTCTGGTGACTGGAAGTTGCATTTCCTTAATCATCCTTGCTGCAGGTAAGTAGTTGTAGTGGCACTGTGGTTGTGGTTAAGGCATTGGGCTGCTTACCAAAAGGTAGGCAGTTCGAACCCATGAGCCACTTCATGGGAGGAATCTACATCCAAAAAGATTTACAGCCTTGGAATCCCAATGGGGAGAGCTATGAGTCAGAACCAACTTGATGGCAGTGGTTTTGTTTTTTGTTTAGAATTAGAGGAAGAATTTTAATGAGGATGTATGATGTCTCTTTGAGGTTACCCTATGATTTATAAATTTATCCCCGAGTTTAGAACAGTCCATTGTATCTTGCAACTCTCTTAACTTCCTCTCCATTTAGAAGTTCTGTAACTACACAGTCTTTTCCCTCTTTTTGTTTATAGTTGTCCTTACTTGCCAATTGATGTCTCTGGTTCCCTGTTTACAATCTTGTAAACTCATTTTACTTTAGATATGTGCACAGTGTCTCTTAATAGCACTAGTTTAACTGTGTTCTGATATATACATAAATAACAATTCTTTAAGTGGTTAGAAAACTAACCCTTTGACAGACAGCATAGAGAAATAGAAAGGACATGATCTTTGCAGGAAACCTAACATGAACTCAAATTTTAACTCCCCATTTAATTGTGTCTATATATTCTTTTATTTTGATTTCTCTGAGTCTAAGTTTTCTCATTGGTGAATGAGAAATTAATATACTTTGCATGACTGTTTTAAGAGCTAAATAAGATGTTGTTGTTGTTGTTGTTATGTGCCGTCGAGTCAAACCCGACTCATAGCGACCCCTCCTTGGGTTTCCAAGGCAGTATCACTACGGAAGTAGGATTGCCCAACCTTCCTTCCGAGGAGTGGCTGGTGGGTTTGAACTGCCAGCCGCCTAAATAAGATAGTAAGTGTTAATTCAAGTCCTTGTATATAATAAATGCCCAACAAATGAAGAGTGTCTCTTCTCTTGCTCTTGCTGTCCACTGTGATTTCAAACCATTATATGAAGCTCCATTGCAACTCTGGGAAAATTATATCAACAATTTTAACAAGTGGAGTACCTGTTCTTCCCCACTGAATCGTTATTTGCTTGCATGGAGGGAAGGAAGCCAGTTTTCTAGTTTCCTACTACTGTACAGGAACCTCGCTTCCCCCCCTAGATTTCCGTATGCACTTCTGATAAGAATCAATACTTTCCATCAGCAAAGGAATATGTTTTCTGTAAATAGAGCTGAAAAGATTTTTATTAAGAAAGTAAATTTTTCCTACGTACTTGATCTGAATCACTCTGTCATCTCTAACGGTGATGACATATAAACAGTACATGTTGTTGGGATAGTCTGAATATGAATAGGCAGGACTCCGGATGATTCCAGTGGAGAAGTTGAACACACCACCACAGGCTGCAACAAAAGACAAGGGAATATGCAGGTAACAGTTATTATGTGTGGAAAGATAATTCTTAAATATTCTATAGTATTGTAGTCTTTTCCATAAGAGAGAGAATAATTCCTTTTCTTAAAGTAACTCAAATATCTCTTCATTGTGCTTACAAATAACCCTGACTTTTTCATGGGGAAAAAAAGAAGAGACAGCAAAGAAACAGGAAGCAGGGAAGGATATTTTGAGGCACATCTTAGAAATAAATGCTCCATGGGTATAAATGCTCCATTCTCTACATGTAACTGAAAGATCGAGAGAGAGAGATGACAGCAGGAACTGGAAGTTGAGAGATGTCAGGAAGTTCTGGGCACATGGGCCCAGGATGGACTGATATCTAGAAATTTTAAATAATATCGATTTAAACCTCCACTGTTAGGGAGAGAATTTCATGAAGTGCAGTGTAGGAAATCATTTTGGTACTTTCAAGCTCCCTCTATGGGTTCCTCTATGGGTTCTCAGCTCCTATGTATTTCTATTTAATTGTGAGATGGAGAAGAAGCACATCTGCCCAGATTTGTACTCTTAGCCCTCAACAAGCAGGAGAGACAGGCCCACTCCTCACCGTGACTCCAGAAATCAGCAGCCTACGTTGCTACTATTAGTCAATAAAATGGCAGTCATAAACATATCATGAAAGCCTTTTTATAAATAATTTAAAATGCTGCAATATTTCTTGGTTTACATTGGAGGATCAAATTGTGTCACTTAATGTAGAAAGGACTCCACTCTCACCACAGTACAAAAGGGCTTGTATTTTTTATATTCCAAAACAAAGAAACAAACAAAACCAAACTCACTGCTGTGGAGTTGGACCCAACTCATAGTGACTCCTCCTTGGGTTTCCTATGGAAGCAGATTGACCAATCTTTCTTCCGAGAACACCAAAATTATAATGAAGTTGGTACATTTTGATACTATTTCAGTGGGTTTATATACTATCCATGGATGTATCCATTTACATCTTTTGGAAATAAGAAAAAAAAATCATGGCTGCCAGTTAAGGTTCTCTATATCATTATAATTTCAGCTGAGCCCACCTTGCAGGGAAAGCTATTCTCTATATGCCGATATGTAATCATGCGCTCAGACCCCTGGGTACATCTGCATTAAATGTACAATCTCAATTAAATGGAGATTGATGTAGACATTCCTCTATTTCATTTGTACACAATCATGTGGTCTATGAAAGCTTTAATGGTTAGACAACTTCCAAATTTACACACTGTAAGAATTTGAAGTCTTAATAAAAACAACACTCTTTAAATGAAAATCTTGTAATAGATATGCTGAAACTTGCATACACTGTTTCAGGAAAATAAAGGATAAAAGTTGAGAAAGGTATGAAGCAAGGTTTAACTCCTCTAAGTAGTTGTTGTACCAAAAGAGTAAGACAAATCAATCATTTTGTTTATACAACAAGAAAACTTGGGGAAGAAATGTTAATTGCTCACCTATTCTTTTTTGTGCCAAAAAAATACCTTTAAAAACCATACATACTCACATACTTTGCAAATGTTGAGGGTCAAGTTCAGACGACTGTTGATGTAAATGAATTACAAAAGCTTTCTTCATAAGTAAATAAACATTTTTTAAGTCCTTTCTGCTAATGGAAACAATAATTTACTTGAAAGAAAACTTTTTAATGTTCTACTTTTAGCAATGGGTTGGTCAAGTAAAGATAGACAAAATAAAGATTTTGCAAGATTTGGATGCCCATTTAACTGAAGTTGGAATGATGTGGTAAAAATGTTGTCAGCCACTAACCAACCATGTTTATTGCAGAACAGAAAAAGACTATTCCAAATAGGGAAATATAATCTTATTATATCAAATAAACATAGATCACACTGACTATAAGAATAAAAATATCTTGGAGCTCTGGTAGCATAGTACCTAAGGTACTTGACTGCTAACCAGAAGGCTGGTGGTTCAAACCCATCAGCCACTCTTTGGAAGGAAGGTTGGGCAATCTACTTCCGTAGCGATACTGTCTCGGAAACCCAAGGAGGGGTCGCTATGAGTCAGGTCTGACTCAATGGCACATAACAACAACAACAACACAAAGACTTTAACCATCAGTGGCTTGCCTCTTCCCTTTGGCTTTGATACACAGAATTTAAAAATTGTAGTTGCATGCATTTCATTTTCTTTAGGGTTTGCATTTTTTGCATATTGTGCTTTTTGCATAAAAAAGTTTCCTTTCCTAACAGAAGAGCATTAAGATTTTCTCTTACATTTCTTCTAGATTTATAAAACACTTATTTTCATATTAGCAAAGTGATTTGGGGAAGTAAACATGATCTGGATAATCCATATTAAAAAGACACCATTGTGTAATGTACAAACAACTAAAGGTATCAGTAAAGTTCATTTGCACATCAATTATCCAAATAAAGACCTTTATTCCCCACTGTATTTTCAAAGGGCCGGTGCAGCCAAAGTTACAAAAAAAAGCCCCTTCTCTTTATTTTTAAAGAAAATTGTCTAAAATTTTTGAACCAGGCACCTAATAAACTTTTTTTTTCCCTGAAAGTCTTCTGAAGCTTCAAGCTAGTGATAATATGAATCACAAATAAATATCCTTATATGAACTGCACACACACACCAAACAAACAAATAAATTAGGAAGAAAAAGAAAAGAAAACTCCAAACTAATCATTATGGCTACTCACAGGTTATCCTATAAGAAATTCTGAATCCAAAATCCGTGATGTATGCGTTAGAGTAGAAGTTAAGCAGCAGTGGACCAGAGATGGTGACAGGAGCAAGGATCTCATCACCACACAGGGTAGCAAATGGTGAGGAAGATAAGCTGTAACCTCTAATGATGTGCACGCCATCATTGACACAACTTCCTGCAATGGCTGAGCGAGCTGTACAAAGCATAGAACAACCAGCATTATAATCAGAAACAACGTGAAAAATAAATGCTGTACAAAGTAAGCCAAAAAATGTAATAATGAAGCTCTGTGCACTTTATAGAGTTATTAAATGGAACGACTGATACAAGAAAACAGAATTTCACAATAGATAAATCTCAATTTGAAATTACCCAGATGTTTTTTTTTCCTTTGGGAGCTCTGGTAGCATAGTG